ACTATCTCTAACTTTATGTAAAATGTTCCCCGTCCAAAAAGAAAGACTTTGATATATTAACAACTTTTTCTTAACAATTTTTTGATAATAAATCACGTGTCAATTGGTCCGTTTTAATTTATTTTTAAAGAAATATTTAAAACGGATCAATCGCAAACCACCACGTAGGTGTTGTAAAAAAGTTGTAAAAAAAATTGTTAAAAAAAATTCTCTTAAAAGAAAAAAATAGTTCTCCATCGAGAGATACTCAGTCGTAATGCAAATAGAGTTATGTTTTATATTATATTATATATACTATATTATATATATATATATATATATATATATATAATTAATATTTTATACATATGACACAACTCTGCTATCAAACTTTAAATTTTATATTTTGAATAGTATTTTTTATTTATGTTGAAAATTATAAATCACTTGAAAAAGATACAATGTATTCTTTTAGAAGAAAAATGTATGGTGAATTCTTAATTTATATGAAAATGCTTTGTGGAAATATGAGAGGTTGAATATTAACGAATTAGGAAACTTATTATTATAGAAAAAACTAAACATTATTTTTAACTTTAAACTTTAATTTTTCAATTTATTCTTTTGATAAGACTGACCTTAATTTCTATCTCATTCCCTTATATTTAGTTTAAGACATACTTAAATAACAGGAGTGCCGTAATTATTTTTCCACTTGGCTCAAGTCCAACAATTGGAGTGTTCCATCAAACCTTGAAGACAAGTATAATTTGAGTACCCGTGACAGTGTTAGACCATAACTCCCATAATTCACATTCTACAAATATTAACAAATCTTAAACGACATGGGTGGAAGACTATCTTAAACCTTTTTGAATTGATTTAAACTCCCAAATATAAGAAATGTGAGAGTAAGCATCCGTTCAGTTGGATTTAGATTTAACTTAACCCAATTTCGAATTTAATATTTTAAATTTTATATTTAACCATTTAGTCTATTAAATTAATCAGATTCAAGTTATTGGATTGTGAATTAATTTGATCATATTTTTAAATTATAAATTTATACTAAATTAAATTTTGTAGTGAAAAAATTTCATTTATTTTGAATAAATGACGTAAATATAATGAATTTTATCTGAAAAATAAATATATAATTTTAATAATGATTATTATAATGGATTATAATTTTATATAATTTATCATTAAGTTTTAACAAAATAATATTATATTAAAAATACAATTTAAAATTTTATTGAAAATTTACTCTGAAGTTGATGAATTACAGAATCTATTAATGGTAGAGTCGAAGATCCAGTGAAAGATATTATAAATGTTGAGCAATGATGTGATTTCACTGCAACTTGTGGAGGAAGGTAAAAGATCTGAGATTAATAGTATTCCACTCTAAGTGGAGGGAATGAACTGGTGAATCTCCGTATCTTTCTGCAGCCTCCATTCTCATGGTGCGCAAGTCTACTAATTCTTTTTTTATATATTGCTTTACCGTAACTCAACCATTTCTGTCTGCTTGCGAAGGGAAACAAAAAAATAACTTGCTCCACATGTGATATATATTTCCATGAATTTAAAAATAAATTCTTTTTATTTTATTAGCCATTTTAGTTTAAAAAAAAGGTCAGATTATTGGTGACCCTCCATGTGAGTGTCACTCTGTGACAGTGAAGAGTCTCTGTTCGTTTTTATAATCTAGTCAAGTTGTCCGTGATCCTGTCTCACACTAACATTGTTTTCTACCACTCTAATTTTTAAATATCACGAACCAAGATGTTGACTGAATTCTAGAAGTCCTTCTCGAGTTAATTCACATAAATTTAGCATATTATGAACTTTTTAACTTCACCTTTTGCAAATCTAATTTATCTATCAGACCATGCGTTATTGTCATATTCTAACTAAGATAATATAATTAACACATAAAATTCATGTAAGCAAACTTTTTATAGCAAAAGGAGAGACGGAGATTAAAAGCAGCAGTTATCAAATGAAATGTATATATCTGGAAAGAGAATGATGAGCCAAATCTATTTTACGCATAGAAAAGAGAATGACTGCGCTGGTCCACATTCGCAGATCATGATGCACTGCACTCCTCATATTTAAGTCAAGTTGCATAATTGCATTAAGTATCAATAAGAATCTAAAGAGAGAGCAATGACACTCAACATGCTATAAATACCATGAGGATCTCATAACTTCTCATATCACCTCTCTTTGAATCTAACTCTCTTCATTATAGTAACTGAGATAACGACTTCATTCTCTCTAGTTTCTTACCTATTTCTTCTTATTGCTTCTTCATTCACCATGGTTAAATTTCAGACCTTGCAAAAATACTTGTTCATTTTTCTAGCCCTAGTTGCCTGTCATGGTTTCCTTCTGGCACATGGCAGGAAAATAAACATCAAGGCACTGAAGCAGCACCTTCCACCACTTAAAACAAACTTTGAATCACCACACTATGAGAAATCTAGGAAATTGGAAGATTCAGGTGCAGGCTCCACAAAAACTTCTCGACCCATTACACCAGGAGCGAGTCGTGGTGTTGGCCATGAAATGATTACATCAGAAGATCATAACACCATGAAATCTGAAGGACCAGGTCACAGCCCTGGCGTTGGCCATGCTTATCACCAAAAAAAAATTGGACAGGAAAATTAGTCATATAAACTAAGATATAATTGGAAACACCAAAACTAGTGCAGACGCGTAATAATGTCAGTCTTTATTAATGTTTTCTTTCTCTGCACTAGAGTCTGTATAACAAATTAGGTGTTATAGTATGAGATTGGCTTTAGTTGGAATTCCTGGGAAGAGTTGGTCTCCCAAATATCTTATCATTCAATTTGCTAGCAGTTCTATTTATAATTCAAGGCAAAATAAATAAAATATGTTTTCAAGGGACTTCTCTATGGCAAAATAAATAAAATATATTTAAAATTCAAGATACTAAAATATCCCTAAGACGAAGATCACTCCCCTGTATTTTCGATTTTTTGTGGCTAATTTTTTTGTTGTTGTGAAGAAACAGCAAGCCACACATTGCATATACCGGTACCTGTTGTTAGGCAGAGATAATTTGCAATGGCATGCTATATATGTTGTGAATACTGGAGAGAGTAAAGAGAGCTACAAGGGAAACAACAACTATCCAATTGCCTGCAGAACTTTAACTTCCAACATATTCTACAATTCAACTTCTTTATTCCTTACAAATACCAATTACTACATTGCAATAAATAAATTTTCACTTCACATCAAACTGGGGAAGATGGCTTTGGATCAGTTTCTAATGATAAAATGTCTTCATGAGCATTGTTTTCAATGAAAATTTAACAATTTTAGGTAAAAGAACTACTGCACCATAGTCTTTATTTCTTCTTTGACTTTCAAGGAAAAGAATATTTTTATGACATTGGTTTTTCAAAGCAGTGAATGGATTGGAAAATACTGAAATGTTCAAGGAACCTAATGCTAAGAATCATAAGATTCTTGGAATACTTGGAAAATGGTGTGACAGTAATTCTGCAATTGAAATTGCCAAAAATCCTACCTTCCATCCATGAGTGGACTAAACATGTGGAAATTGATTGCCACATTGTGAGGCAAAAAGCTTGTCGATGACCTCATTCATCTTCTGCACATTCCTTCTGCTCATCTGTTCGAACGGTTTATACCGTCATTCTGTTTTTTGTTGTATTTTGCTTTGCTTGAATATTTCTATACATTCAAAGCTTTACCCTCATATTCGTTGGTTGATTCAGATGAATAGTACAGAGATTCTTTCTTCCTTTCTCCTCGTGTTCGTTTAACTCACATCTATAGTAAAATCAATGGAATCTATTACCACAACACAAAGGAATGAGTTTTTTTATTATTATATACCTTGTAAATGTAATAGTATTAAGATGGTACTTATGAAAAATCCAACTTGAGAACATGTCAGGAAAACAGAAGTTGAAATAAAAGAATAAACAAAGTATTACAGTTAAAAACGTTATAATTTACACGACTCTATAAAAAAAAACATATGAATATATACCTATTATTAGAATGAATTATGGAGGCCATGTAGTCAAGTATATATATTCGTTTTGTACGTACATATAATCTTATTGACACGAAAATACATATTTTCTCTTCCAATGTAAATCTTTTCACGCAATTATTTACAGAACTTTTGAAAACAATAGCCCTTTTCTCGTGTATAATTTATTTCAATTTCAAATTCTAATTTTGTTTTGATATCAAAACTTTACTAGATGCAAAAATTAATACGAAGAACAAAAATTTTAAGTCTTTAAATCTTCATTTCAAGTTTTATTACGACCTTTTATTATATCTTCATAAAGTAAAATTTTCGACGATTTTAACTCTTTGGGGCAAAAATTGGTTGGCAAATAAATATTTTAGTTCCTCCATCTTAATCTTCTTATATTGAAGCAGACCACCTTCACGAACACCAAACTTTTTTCTCCCCCATTATCTTCTATCTATTTAGATTGCCCCAGAATTTATAATCAGTCTAACTTTTCCCCCCAAACTCAACCCCTCTCTCATAATATGATTACACAGAAAAACTAATATATAGATTGCCCCCAGAATCTATATATCTTATTTATTTATTTGCCGAACACAAATAAATCATCTAGCTTCACCATTACTCTGGGAATATAATAACTAAGGTCAGATATCAAACATAAAGATTATATGTAGGAAAAGAAGAATAAAGGAAGATCAAAAGGAAGCAATATTCAAATAAAATGCATATAGTTATAGAAAAGTGACAAGTTCAATTTATTTAGGCGCATGCACACTAGCATAGGAGGGAGTGGGCCATTGAATTGAGCTGTTTGACAAATAAACGGTCCACAAACACTCCATATAGTCAAATTGTATAATTAGCATTTGGAATCATAGCTGAGAGCACTAACACTAACACACAACAACATTATAAATAGCCCGACGATCTATGACTGCTATGCATCTGTTCTTAAAAATATATCTCATTCTCTCTTGTCTCTGCATAACCTGCAAACTTCTTCAGTGATCATGGCTAAATCGCAGACCCTCCACAAATATTTTTTCATTTTTCTAGCACTAGTTGCCTACCATGGTTTCCTTCTAGCACATGGCAGGAAAATAAATATAAAGCCACTGAACCAACATTCCCTACCAAACACAAAAACCGTAGCCAATAATGTTCCATTCGGTGAATACGAGGAAGCTAGAAAATTGGAAGATTCAGGTGCAGGCAACACAAATGCTTTCCGACCCACTACACCAGGAGGGAGTCCAGGTGTTGGGCATCAAGTAATTACATCAAAAGATAACAACATGAAATCATTGTTAGCAGTTCAGAGCCCAGATGCTAAGGTTTCCGTGACTGAGGAGTCAAAAGATGATGATTTTAAACCTACCGATCCAGGTCACAGCCCGGGCGTTGGTCATGCTGACAAAAACAAAATTGGACACGACAATTAATTACTGCATGCTCGTCTGAAACTATATGTCATATTGGTTTTCCTTCTCCACAAAACTCTATATTCTTGCATGCGACCGTAGTAGGGTCGTGGCTTTTATTTGTTATTGCTTGGGATCAATTTCTTAGAATTTGTCTGTATTTACAATTGCAGGGTTAACTTCATGTGTAATGCAAATTTGAAAATAAATAAAACATGTAATCTATTATTTTCAATTATCTCCTTGTTTCTCTTCATACATATATTAGAAAATTTCCTGTTACTTAGAAATATTTTTACCATTCTACAGAAAAACTTTTAATCTTATTTTAGTATATTTTAGCCTACCAATACAATTTTACATGGCAAACTGTTATTCAAAACTCAGGAAAGTAAATACGTTGTTGTTGTTGCTGTTCTCATACATATATATAGTGGAGTGGTTGAGGTCTCTGATACTACAAGAAAAATCAGTTTCAGTGATTATTCATCATTAAAAGTTATAAATATCTCACAATTAATTTCTTATGGCAATAATTAAATTGTCGCTGGTACTTTTGTCACTATTCTACTTGTGACAATATTTTTAAATGTCACTAAAATCAAGTTTTATTGTGACAAAAATAATTGTCACTTTTAATTATATACAATAACAACAATAATAAATTGTCACAAATATATAGCTAATGGTGACAAATTAGTCGTAACAATATTCTAATTTATTTGTGACATTTTTAAATTTTTACTAAAATTGATTTTTGTTGTTAACAATGTTAACTATTTATGATCATTATTAATTATTTTATAATAAATTTTATCATCATCATTGGAAGTTGTGTTGATGCGAAATTGTCACATATTACTTTCTCGTCATAATAAATAGACAAATTATTTAAAATGTTAAAATAAATCAACATCAAATATAAGTATTAAAATATAAAATGTTCATTACATTTTAAATGATAAAAATACACATTAAATATGTAAGAATGAATCCAAACAATATATACAGTAGACCTATCTCTACTTTAAAATATTTAAATTAAATAAGTTTTTCAAATACAATAATATACCGTAATATCTTGAAACATCTTCGTCCTGCAAATAAATAAAAGAAACCATTAATATTTTAATAATGTGAAGCTGTAATTGCAAGATACGAATGACAAATTTCAAATAGCAAAAACAACTTACTTTATTTATGAAATACTTGAAGAGCTAGATCATCCAATAAATGATCAAGCCTCTTAATAAAGTAATTATGTGATATCTTATATATCTTTCCATCACTGTTACATAAAGGGCTTTACCTATGGTTAAAATGATTCTCTAATGACCGATTTTTAATCATCATAAATATAATCATCGTTAAAAGTTTGGACGAAAGTTTAAATGATTGTTATTAAAAGATTAAAAAACATGACAGTTCAAATGATTGTTGTTAAAAGATTAAAAATCATGACAGTTTGGTGTTGCTTATAGTTAAATACAAAAAATAAATTTAAAAAAAATAGAAAAAACATCATTTTTTTCAAATGCTTCCAATTGTCTTTGGGGTAGGATTTACTATGAAGCAATGACAACCAAACAAATATTTATAATACTTCTTAATATTATCAAAACCACAAATTTAACATTACATTAAACAATACAATTATCTTTAAGTAATAACACTAATCAAATATCTTTAAATCATATCTAATTTTACAAATAATAAACCTTACTCATTTTAAAAAATAAAAATGAAATAAAATAAAATAAACTTATGTAGAATTGAGAGCGAACACGAGGGCAAGAGCAATGTGTTACAAGAAGCAATCGAACGAGCAATGGCCAACAATGGTGTGCAAGCGATGACAACAAGAATGCGAACTTGTAATAGTGGTGTGGAGACTTACTACTAATGGTGGCAAGGCATACAAACGTACGACGACAACACGATACAAACGACAAAGGTAGTGAGTCTTAAACAAAGGTTACAACTGAGTGCACGAATGAGTGTCACTTCTCATATGAATCACTTTTAATGATGATTATATACAATAACCTTTGTTGTTTCTTCACTTCACCACTTTTAACGACGATTGTCAAAGAACCATTGTTGTAAAGTTCGTCTAAATTAGAAAAAAGTTACCGCATTTCATTTGACGACATTAACTTTTTAATCGTCATTATATAATGTTGTGAAAGTCCATTTCATAACAAGCTTTTGATCATCAATTATTTAACATTGAGATTGTAATTTAGTTTGAAGTTGAATATTAGTCTCATAAAATATTAGTCTTATAAATTACCGACTGTGGTCTGATAGTACACGACTCGATAGTGGTCCAGTAAGAAGTGGAACAATATACCCAACAAACATCAAATCTCACTAAGATAAATTTTGATACTATGTTAAAAGTAGATTTTAAACTTAATTTTATTCCACAAAACCAGTCTGTAAAGTGAAACTTGAACCTACTTATATATATATTATAAATTAACATTATCTTTAATCGAAATGTGACTTCCAAGAATATCTAAGAAGAAAAATAAAACAATAATTTAAAAGTTTTTAAAACTTCATTTTTATTAAAACCGAAACCTATTTATTAAGTGATTTCGAAAGCTTTTATTTGCACCAATAATTTATTTTAACAAAAAGTATTATTTTAACATTCTGAAGGCAGGCATACCGTTGAGATTCGATGAAAGGGACCCCAAAGATTCCTCTGTCTTCCAGTCGACACTAATACCAAAGTATTTTTTATCTTTTTAAAATGTGAGTGTGACCATGTTACAGTGATTATTAAATAATAAAATAAAATAAGCAATTAAATAAGCACCCCTCGTGCACTACAGCACAAAATCTAGACTCTAGCCACCACAGCTACCCTATTGCACTTTGCATCTTATGATTTCATTTTTCAAATAAAAAACAATAAAGTTGAGAATTTAGAATTAATAGTACTAGTTAATCTCTTTTTTTTTATTTCCTTCATATTGATTCTCCGTACTTTAGCTATTCAATTTTGTGTAGTAAAGAAAAAGTGAGGTTCCATAGTCTCTGGAAGCCAACTCTTTTGGAAGATTCTCCATCTCCACCATTACTTTATTTATTTTCTTCATTCATTCTTTCGTAATTTGATGCATTATCATTACGAAAACGACATCTACAGTGACAATCTCAAGTGGTAGGGACTATGCCCTTCTTGACTTTACTTTCTTGACCACTCCCACATGATTCCTTAATTTCATTAATTAACTTAATTTCATTGATTAACGCACACACATTAGTTGATGCGTGCAATCATTTGGTCATCTCTATGATTTCTTATTTTTTTAGATTTATTCTTTCAAATAAAATTATTTAATTATTGTTTAATTCTACATAAAAATATTTAGGATTAAAAACAATAGTGACGGCTTCAATAACCACTTAAATATCTTTACTTGACATCCATTTAATATCAATCACACTAGAACTCGTAAATCTTTTACAAATTTTTTAGTATAAAATCATATGATTTCCATATGAGTATTCACTATATCTTACTTATACAAGACTAGGTCACTAAGAGTGTGATAGCTGATTATAGGGTGTGAAGATAGTTATATAATTAGGTCATTTATCAAATTAATTATTACGATTTTAAAAAATGATATATAATCAAATATTAGTTTATTTCGTGATAAAATGCCTATATATATATATATATATATATATATATATATATATATATAATCAAATATTTTAAAATATTTAAAATTTATGGGAAATATTGAATATAACTCAAACTTTTATTCATATGGTTGGGCTCAAGAATTAATTATTGTTTACAATCACATTTGATGAAATCATTCTTTTATTTCACAAAATAATTTCATACTAGATCAAGAAATAATATATAATCTGTATTTATCTTAATTACAAACATGCTATATATATATAAATTTTATAACGTTAGGAATCTAAGCTTCCAAAGTATTATTATCAGCAAAACTTGAAATAAGATTACCATATTATATTATTAAGACGATTGCTTGCTTTAAGTATACAAAATAGTAACATACACATTGATACTGATGCAAATAACACATAACATTATTTTACGGCAGCATGGATATATAGTCTTTTTTATTATTATCATCAATAATATATTATATCATTATGTATATATTGAGTTCATGCATATGAATATTATGATATCACATTTAACCATATATCATGTTATGACTAGATGCAAAACATTCTCTAAAAGACTCTAAAATTATAATAAATAAGTCCGTCAGAAGCTAATATCTTAACTAACTTATGTCTATGATATTATATGACACAAAAGATATGCTACTAAACTATATGTAAATTAATCAAATTTTCATTACCTGAAGTCGTATTTGTGTGACTAGATGACATTAAAGTTGAAATACCTTTGTTAATGTAAGTTTCATGTTTATCATTGTTAACCAAGGCTTGATATCATCCCGAGTATCCTACATCACCCATCTAAGACAAACCTTAATATAGATATATTTAAAATGGAAACGAGAAGAAGACAAAGGCGAATAAAAATGAGGTGGATATGTATATCCAATTTTAAAACCTAAATATTATCAATATTTATATTTGTAATTGTCAATTTTAGAATTTTTCATAAATATTATAATTATTCAGATAATACCAACAGAAACAAATTTATTGTCCTCCGTGTCTCAAAGAATATATGACCCTCAATTTGTAATTGTGCTTACTTAGCTCGTCAACCACATCTTAGAAAAAAAATGAGTTTGTTTGTTTTTCCATATGAATCTATAAGTCCAAAGATTATAATAATGAAAATGTATTAGTAATAATAATAATAATATAACTTTTTTTAATTTTTATTACCATCAAACAATCTCAAACTCTTAAAGTGGTAATTTTAATTTCTTCCGAAAAAGGTAAACATTACGAAAATAAAAGGAAGTTTATTCGGCAATAAGTGGCATTGACCTATAATCTAAACAAATTCACGGTTGATACCTAGGAAGAGAAGGGAATAAATATGGTGTCGCCAATTAACAGTGAAAATAATAAGAAAGAATAAAAAGATATATGTTAATTATAAAAAGGAAGTGTAGCAATTAAGAAAATGTTTAGCAAGTACACGATCTCATATTTTACGGTGTAAATTTCATAAAAACATTATTGTATATATGATAGAATAAATACCTCCTCCGGCTTCAAA